TATATATATATATATATATATATATATATATATATCTAGCAGGCCATCCATCATCAAAGCACTCAAAATGACAGCGAATTACAATTAAAAGTTGAGAGATGCGATTTAATCCTTCCTGAAATATCTTTCAATTAGTATAATTGTTTTCGTTCCTTAGCACTTCAATACACAAAAATAATTATAGATTGAAATTAGGCATAATTTAAACACATATCGTTTCGATCACAGTTTACTTTCTCTTATTCAAATGATTTGAATTTGGAAGGGTGCAAAGATGAAGGATTTAATTAAAAGATATGCTGACAAATCCAACGAATTACGGTGAGTCTCGATAAATAGGAGAATCATGTAGATCTCATTTAGTATAATAATATAATAATAATGTAGCCAAATTTAGTGAATTCTCCTGACATTATAAAAGGGGACAAGCATGCATGCATATACACGCGCGCACACGTACACTCACACACACATATACATACATACATACATAACAGGACGAACATCTATTTTCTCTTTCTCTTTCTCTCTGTGTGTCCTGCCAACTCGTTCACTTCCAAACTTGATCCTTATGAATCGTGAAAAAGAAGCTATCCTATTCTATGTATATACAATTATTATTATTATTAATATTATTAATATTATTATTACGTTGTTGGAAGAGACACAACAGGATACTTATAAATTTAATGTCCTATCAAAAGTTCTCGCGTAGGAAAGTAACGGCACGACGGTAAAAATATGGCTCGACATTATTGACTGTTATTCAGGTTATTTTGCTGCTTTACAGAATCCATATTGGGAACGTAGTCCATTGCCATTAAACAGGCAAACACGGTCATCACCATCTTCGGTTTAACCTCGGTTATATCTTCTGGTAACGCGTAGACACGAGCACCACATTTCCGTGCCAAGGATATAGCATATTTGGCGTTGTCAAGGTTTTCCTACAATTTCAATTATTTCATTAGTACAATTTGTTGAACTCTTTGAAAAAAAAGAAAACAATTTTATACTCGTAGTGTATTGTTCTAATGATTTTAAATGACTCACTTCCTCAGTACCACCCTCTTTAACGAGGTCGTAATTAACACAGCCGGGTTTGATAGCATCGATCAAATCTATCACAACTTTTCCATCCGATATCGCATAATCCTGAAAACTTTTGATACTACTATTCTTTCCTGCCCCTTGCAATTTCGTATTAACCCATTGTACGATTTCTTTTTCGACCAAAGTACTACCCTGTGTACCGGTCAACGACGTTAGAATAGAAAGGGTGTAAGACCTCATCAATTGCCAGATAAGTGCCAAGGTTAAGGTCGCATTACCATCATTTATATCTTGTCCCGCTATACCGACCAACGAAAAGTTCATTTGCTTTCCAAGTTCAACAACATAATTGCAGTTTTCTAATTTTTCCATAAATTTCCTCAACTTGGTAAACTTTTTATGAACTTTAGGCCAATTAACTGTACCAGGTTTGATGATATCATACAATTGGAAAATTACTAATCCATCAGCAAGATCAGAGTAAAGCCAATTGACGTGAGGTACCACGCCCATCGAATTCATCCAATTCCTATAAGTTTTTTCTTCTCGCGTTTCCTCCAATGACTCTAATCCTTCGATGTTGTTCTCGGGTTTATCCAGACCGGGGTAATTGTTGAACATATTTGCAACAAATGCCAGATTTAGTTTATAAATACCATTGACAACGTCGTTTGGTGTAACGAAACTACGGCAGCCTAATTTAGCAGCCTGTTGAAGCATAATTTCAGCTCGGGACAAATGATTTGGTTCCATCAAAGCTTCAACGGTAACACCGGCAGTATGAGGTGCAATTTGTTTGATTAAATAAGTATAAATTTCCGAATCCGTAATATCAGATTGAAAGTTGTTGCATCTTCTAGCAATACCAGCATTTTCCAAATGATGATTAACCCATCTCAATAGTATAGCCTCCGGAGAAAGTTTCAAAAGATCCTCTATACGTTCGCCATCTTGTAACAAGGTCGCCAAACCAGGACAATTCTCTAAAGTAATTTGATTGAAGAGACCGATTCTAATAATCTGCCATAAGAGACCCAACACCAAATGCGGGGATCCTTTGGTGAGATCATGAGCATCGATATTGACGATATTGCAACCGATAGATTGAGCCGATGATAAGGCCAGCGTCAAGTTTTCATGTTTCTTATACAAAGTCAGATTCTTCTTATTGATCGTTCTTTCGTCTATGGTGTCAGGACAGGAATGATTAATGATTTTACTGTAACAATTCCAATCAAATATTATCTGTTAAATCAAAACGATACAATCAATACTAATCTTATTTTAAATGGATTAATCAAAGTACCAACCAAAGGAGTATACCGTCTTTGACCTTGTCATAAAGTGTCTTGCCCTCAGGATCGATAGGTAACAAATGTTTCAAATCAGGATCATGAGCTAGATTAGTATTAATCCAATCGCTGAAAGCAAGTTGTTCCTCGAGTCTAACGGAATGAGTAGTACCAACACTTGATGCTTCTGAAATTCCTCCTAACGTTTCAAGATTTTCCTTTTTCGAAACGACGTGCTTAAAAGTGGATCCAAGTTCGTTGGCCTTAAGTTCTTTACAAAGTTTCTCAAACTCGTCGAAGGACAGCCGGCCCTTATGTTGTAGTCTCTGTTTGTCGTCATACTCTTCGATCATTTGTCGTACTTTGTAACCCGGCATTTTAAATCCGCAAACGTCCAAGGCATTTCGTAACTCGGTCAAATCAATGAATCCGTCACCGTTTGCATCGATCTGAAAAAATATAACAAAATCAATTAAATACGTGTTCTAAATACCGTGTTATTAACACATTACGATTAGGACGGGATATTTTAAGATTTTCGATTATGTTACATCACTTTACAAAAATAGTTATAACTTTTAAAATATTAAATACTTCTCTTATTTTTTTTCATGAGATTTGAATCGAAGACATTTTATATAATAATTATTTTACAATTAAATAATGAGACATGTTGAATTCGTGTGAAACAGATTTTATTTAAATAATTATATAAATATATTTTACGAGATTGGATTTTTTACTTTAATTTTTGTACAATCTTAAACAATTCAATAAGCCTATTGAATCCTACCAATGTACGTTGTAACACATATTTATAGGTCGCCGGTATTTTACGAGCAGTCAAGAAAAAGAACTATATTTTTGTCTCTGAACGGTAATTTATCAATAATTCAATCGTTATAGTGATATCGTAATTATTTATAATAGTTGTAATAAAGTAATAAGAATATTGTACGTATGTTTTTTTTATTTGTTTCTGCTTGCAGATATCTAAATGCATATAAATATGAGTCTCTGTTAGAAGAGTGCTGATCGGGGTTAATCGACCCTGCATGTTCCTACGTAAGCATTCCTCGGAAACAACGTTGGCACTGTCGTTGATCAACGAATGCTTTTCATCCTTTCAAACTCTAATTGTGACAGAAATAATATCAAATTGCATACTTACTAAATTAAATAAACGATTAAAATCACTGAAATATTCTTCCACGATGTCCCATCTACTTAATTTTAATATTTCCATTTTTTTTTTATTTTAAATTAAATAAAATACAAACAATTAGAAAAAAAATGTTCAAACAAACAAATAAATAATGTACAAACGCGAAAAAAGCTTCTCGAAGCAGCTTCTTCGACTGACGTTTAAACGAGAACTATAAACTTCGTGAGATTTCATGATACGTTTAACCTGTTATCGAATCTTATCGTTAAACATACCTGATAATAATGAAGAAGAAAGAAAGAAAAAGTAAAAGAAAATTAAAAAAAACAAAAGAACAAAATAATAGTAAGAAACGTGTCGTAGAATTTATTACGAAGAACACTAGTTCTTGATATAATAAATAGATATGTATATATATATATATATATATATATATATATATATATATATATATATACATATAACATAACTAAGCATTTATCTATCTTCTTTTAGGTATTATAGATTGACTGATAGATCATAAAATTTTGATCTATATGAATCATCTGTGGGAAAGGCGGAACTCTCTTGACTCTATCCCACGGAAGTAGGTTTAACCACATTGCATATACATAATCAAACATTTTGTTTGTTTACTTTTGCGATCGTGCACGTTGTTTCACCACAAAGTTAAATCTCCAATAGCAACATGGATCTTTTAGGGCTAGTGTTACATTTAAATAACTATGTTTATCTTCAATTTTAATTAACAAAAAAAAAACTAATTCACAATATTCTAGAGACTCTAAAGAGTACTCGCGAATTCTGTCAAATTTTTTAAATAACATAACGTTGAGAAAAAATAAGCCCAGGAAAAGCAACGTTATTTAAAATCTATTTTGCCGACGGAGGATTAAAAACATAATATTTTCTTTTCTTTATCTCCCTGATAAAAATATAAAATGACGTTCAGTTGATTCACAGCTGATTGTTTTGGACCCGTATTTTAATTTGTATTAACAACTTTCTCTCTCTTTCTTTTTCTAAATAATCAATATACCTAATCATATACCTATATATGAGAGATAACAGTTCCGGTAATAATCATTGATGGTGGTGTTACATAAACGTTTTTTGCGATAAGGTTAATACACCGAGATGCGTCATCGGTTAGAATCTGGTAATGAAATATATGCTGATAGATTATCGCGAATTCATAGTTAAACGATGATACTAGTTCCAGATCAGATTAAATCTTTTACATTTTCATAATCCTAGAAATAAATCTGGCTATCAGAAAATCGTTGAACGATCGACTATCAAAAGTACATTAAATTAAATAAAATTCTTTGTAGATCAGGGATAGTCAACTTGGCCCTTATCGCCTATAAGTGGGCAATTTAAATTTTCATGGTAGACGGTAAGGGATTTTGTTCGATAGAGAAAGGGGATCGCAAAGGAAAGTTTAATACACTTTATAGTTTTTATATTTAATTTTCTTTTGCCTGTATTTTAAAAACAGTTTCTGCATTCGTAGGCGTTGTATCGATCGAGATACAGAAATGCAATATCAAATTAAATTTTCTAAGTATCATTAACATACGCTAAAAGTATAAATAAAAAGATACATTACCTATTTTTGTTAATATTCTATCAACGTTGGATTACTAGTTCCCCATAACAGTTAACTAAAGTCGAGCAACGTGAGTACGGTTAGTAAAATAAATGAACGATCCGTTAGGAAAAACAAAAACCGTATGTTGTTATCTCTAAAGAAGCGTTAAAAAGACACGAGCCCTCTTTGGTAATATTGGCAGTGGCGGATCAAATCAAACGGGAGCTCCGAGTGGTACAAATTTAAAAAAACAAAACTCTCACAAGATTCTTAAAAAAAAAGAAAAGTAATGAAAATTTGTAAACCCTAACAAATTAACTAAATTTATTCTAAAAAAACGTCATTTTCTCGAACCTTAATGAAAAATAATTGTAAGACCCTATGCGGCCGCTGTTAGTTCATTTACCGTTTAATCCGCCACCTTATTCGTATTGAATAGGTGCACAAAAACACCAACAAAGTGTTCGTAGAAAAGTTATTTGAACCCATAAAGAGGGAAAGTAAGAAGACACAACTGCACTTATTTTTACTAGACCTCAACTGAAAAATTATGAATACTTTGGAAATTGGATTAAATTAAATTACTGAGGAATTGGTGGATAGGAAGAAAATGTGACTATCAAAAAATAACTACAAAAGTATCTTTGGTAGGTATAGAGAAAAAAAAAAGATTGATTACCCCTGAACTGTAGATGGTCGTTGATAACCATGAAAGGTATATTTGCACAATAAATCTAATTTTCAACGTGTACTACCATAGAAAGAAATTGCGCAAATAGTTAGCGGAGACTGAACGCGTGAGAGGAAGGGAACGTTCTCTCTCTCGGGGTCATTCTCTTTCTCTCTTTTTCTTACTGCAATACTTTTATCCAGAAAACTGGTTCCACTGGCATCGCATTGCTGCTGTCCCTCAGTCCCCAGTATCCACCCGTACAAATACCGATAGAATTACCTTAGAAAGAAAGAAAGAAATAAATAAATAAAGAAAAGAGAAGAAAGAACCTAAACTCAGTTGATTCACTTTAATAAACAATCTTCCTTAATATGGTCTTGTATTTTTCGATTACGTAGATAAATTTAAAAACGAGATAACAGGTGGCCCACTGACTCATTACATTTCAATACCCCTGATAATATTTAATATATAAGTATAATATCGAATGATATATCTTTTCGTTTCGCGTTGTTATTTTTGGTTTCTTTAGCTATTTTCTTGTATTTTTTGTTTTGTAATTATTTGAACGATCAACGATCACCTTTGAAAAATATCGAAAGGAATGTCGATCGTTGCGATTAGTCATTCGACTAGTATGACTGGTATTTCAAACTTGCGTCGTCGATTATAAGGAACCTTCAAAAGTTAGCATGTTCTAACCGAAGACACTATACCGCGCTAACGGATATAATTGCGTTATCTTATCTGCTGTCCTAAGATAATGAAAAGAACGATTAACGTTCTTTAAAATGCAAACTTCAATGCTAATTTTTCTTTAACCATTTCCTTCCCCTTACTCTCCTTCTTTTTTTTCTATACAATATGCAATAATAGATATCATTAAAAAACGAATTAGATTATTAATCACCTTTTTTTCTATTAATTTCATATGCATATATCGATTAGAATATGAATTAGAGTATAATTTTTTTTTAATTTTCTATTAAAAGAAAAAAAGAAAAAAAAAAGAAGAAAAAGAAGATTTATTAGCTAAACCTAATTAATAACAACGAATAAATGCGAATAAATGTATCGATGTGGGACGAATCGAATATTTATCATCAATGTAATACTATTCTTGACCTCGAAAGTGGCCTTGAACGCGATACTTTTCGTTAACGTCATCATCTCGGTGATAAGTGCGTGCAAGAAAGAGAGAAAGACGATTCCGCTCACACCCACACTCGTAACGTCCTCGGCAAACAATTTATGAAGGTTAACTTTCCATATATACATACATACATACATATAAGAGACTCGTATGATGCTTTAGAATTGACAATAATTGAAATGCTTCCTAAGAATGATTTTCTGTTTGGGAAACTTTCTATAAATATATAACAACATCCTCATTTATATCTTTGATATAATTTGCATTGTACTAATAAAATACTATAATTTACTATTATAGTATATTTGACGGTTTACATTTTATCAAGTAGCATCATCCCAACTGATCTTCCCAACAGAGAAGGCTTTCGTTTTGGAGTGTCCGCACTGTTACGAGTCAATTAATTAGCACGTTATTTGAGACGAGGTTAATGAAAGAGATAAATTTCTGTCGGGTTGAAATCGAGAGTGAAACACTTTGCAAGTAATTTCACACTTCAAACATATGGATACGTGTTTCATAGATATTTTCTATTTGTGTGTGTGTATTTTATATCAAGAATATCCAAATGTAGAAATATATAAATATATAAGAGTCATTCTCCACACCATGTGTCGGCCACTTTTTTAAGTGACCCCTTTCGATTAAGCTAAAAATTGAATAGATATGTTATTGAACTCGACAGAAGTCGTATTCGTGATTTCTTTTTCTTGTTTTCCTTTTTTCTTCGATGTTTTTGAAAGAATTCTAAAAAATAAAAATAAAAATAAAAAATAAAACTCGAATAAATTTGTAAATTGTTGAATTTGGTCCGAGCGTGTTAATTTTATTTGTAATTTCGAAAATATTTGTTTGTCAAGATCA